AAAAAAAAAAAAAAAAAACCTGAAAATTGAAAGTAATTAATAAGAACAAAAGTAGCGAACCTTCTTGGATTAGCTTTCTATTCAAATGAGAAAAAACAGATAGATACAGAAAATTATTTTTTAAGCAAACTTAATAATGAATAAATAAAATTGACTTCCGAAATTCATGCAAACATGGCGTCTTCTTAAGTGACAAGAATTTACCTTAAATGAATTTCGGACATTTTCTTCAGCGACAGAGATTTCATTTTCAAATATAGTTTCTATATTTTCAATCTGCCTATTGTGATCCTTTGTATCTACAACATCTGAAACCACTAAAGAATTTAAAATGAAGTAATTAAACTTTTCGTCTCTCCCGCGATTAGATTAAAAAATTCAAAGTTTTTTTTTGGATTAAATGTCTTCTATTTCGGTTATGAGACAGCCCTGAGTATGACGTTCGAAAAAGAAGTTACTACCTTCGTTAACACTATTATCGTCTACGCTATGCACATCGCTTGGTGGTGTTGCTTTAAATGAAACAGAACTAGTAGAAGACACTTTTGCAGCACTGTTAGTTACTTTTTGCTGCACTTCAGACCTTGACAAAGATAATTTATCAGATCGAGTAATTATTGAATCTGGCATCCCTGCAACGTCTCTGAATATATGACCGAAAAAATTTCACTGGAGTAATTTTTGGTATAAGCTAAAGCAGTTAAAATAATAATAGCAGACTTGGAAACATAGTAATTAAGAAATATTTTTCATATAATGCAGTTCGCAATATTAATTTCTAAAAACGACAATGGATAGCTATGAATTATGCAGCTTGAATAAATATATTAAACCATTTCTAATTGACGATGAAATCATTTCATTTGAGACTGGAAGGGTTGAAGATGGTGCAGTACTAGAAGATGAAATTTCTGCAGTTGGTGAATTTGGTCGCTAAAAATATTTTCGGTACTGCAAACGATACCGGGTATGAATTATCTTTTACGACTAATCATGACTTAAAAATTCTTGTGAGATTAATAAAAAAATGCTGACTTGATTTTTGGCCTTTTTTTTCTTCTGATTCTTTTTTTTATCGTTACCACCAGATCGTTCCCATGAAACTAAAGCGCTTTGCGCACCATCTATAATGATTTCCGTTGCATAAGACTCGAAAAAAATCAAACTAAGAAAAATTCTCAAACAACAAACAAACTGTTAGCTGTTTTAATGTGAAATGAAACTCGTTTTTATACTTCGAATTTTGCAACCAAATAAGATTAAACTATTGGAACTACCAACCATCACAAAAAGCCTGTATCGTCCTGCCTATATCAAAATCAAAATTATGAAGTGCAAGGATAATATCATTTTTGGAAGCTGTGTGCACCACCTCACGCACTTTTGCTACTGCTTCTTCGACTAATTTTTTTTCTTTCCGATATTGCTGCATAGACATTTCTTTTTAATATAAATAACAGCAAAACAAGTAACCAAATCTGAAACTGTGAAGTCAAAATTGTGCCTTGCATAAGTCTCAATTTAAAATCAATCATCAAAACGAAATTCCCATAATTCAAACACAAGAAAAAAACAGATATTTTAAATTTCTAACTTTTGTATATTATATTTTCCTACAACACATTTCCATAAAAATCTTCTGATGTTTTTAAGACCACTCAGAGAGTGAATCATCTAACAAATGATTTACTATTCAAAAATAAGGGATAAAATTTCAAACCGAGCAGTACAATAGTAAATTGCATCCGTTAATCATCCAAGTATGCCATTTAATGATTTTTAGATGGCTGTAAGTTTTACTTGTCTGAAGCATTCAATATTACTGCTTACTGACATTTGTTATACTAAAATATGAAAGGAACGGAAGATGTTGGCAATGATTTTGGAAAAATTAAAAACATGTAAGCAACACGGTGACACAATACTGATAATTATTTTCTAGACTGAACTGAAAAATTGAAAAGTAAATGACGGGGAAAAATTAAAAACATCGCAGAGATTCTCACATCGCAATTTGGAAATGACGCACAATATTGCACTCGTCAACCCGATATATGGCTTGATATCAGATGCTATTAGCATTCTACAAGTTAAAAAATTTGCTCCAAAATTAATGTAAGCAATTTCCAATAACCCTGATTAATAATCAAAACATTTCAGCACATACTTGCAAATCTGAAACGCGACTGCAACCAATCAACACGCATCGACCACGAAATTCAATGACAATGATGTGGTTGTGATATAAAAGCCAACATGAAACCAATAGCGTCCCAACAAAGACGAATCCATTCTTAAACACACCGCAAACAATACGAACAATTCATACCGTTTCCAACCTTTTGCATTAATGATGTGAGGTGAAAAAAATTCTCTAATAAGCAATACAAATAAACTTGCACGTAGTTTATGTATTGTGCCACAGAAAGAAAAAAATTAGATTCAGAATTTCAGTCATTAACACTAAAGTTTAGTCTAGATCATACTGAAAGCAGAAAGTCGATAGGAATTTGTAACTGTTCACAAATCTTCAAGAACATTTTTACGCTGCAAAATTTACTCCTAACTTGAAATGTTTTGAACCTGAATTCACATAATCATTCTGCCAATAGTGAAGGATTAAGGTGAGAAAGTGCAAGATTTCTACTCGCACTAATTTCATTATCAAAACTGATAAAAAACACACACTTTCCTCCCAACAAATAAATGATAACCTTAATGCATAAGTAAGTCACTAGTCCCGGTCCCCTCCAGATTTGGAAAACTCTCCATATTTCTGTTGAAAAATCAATCAATAAATGGCAATGACCAACGGCTATTTAGATTGCATTCAATCTCTTCTCAACTAAAACTCCATACACATACTGATTTCCTGTAATGGATGAGCGTACAGTGTACACTCCTTGCTATGAAATACTTCTTTATGCCCTCATCACTGAATTTGCTGTTAAAATTAAACAACTCAATTCTCTATCTCAGAATATAGATCAAAAAATTGTTGACCACGAAGAATTTTAAATATTACAAAGTCTTAACTCAAATTTCATCAAAGATTTCTAATGATATCTTCTTTTAATTTCAATGACTATAGATGCAAAATAGAAAACTAATCATTTAAGCCGTTATTTGGTCAGTAAAACCGCAATGGGTAAAAAAACCCCACACAAGTCTATGAGAAAAGTTAGATTCTAAGAAGATTACTAATTTTCAGTTCAAATATAAGCTCGCCCTTTCCAAATCACATTCAGAGATTTACGTTAAAATGACAAAGATTGACGACAGAAATGTTAATTTACATATGGTACTAACTACTTTACATTTTATTTGCTTGCTTGATGTTAATCCAGAATGTACCATAATTGAAGCAGTGGTTGCACAGACACACAGAAAACTCGCCACAAAACATTGTGATAATAAATTAGTTCAATGTGGTTTCTGCAAAATCTCCAATATTTTTTTCCTCAAGTGGTTGCAAAACCTCCTTTCATCAACTCTACAGAATAAATAAAATCTTCATCAATTTCTGCAAAACATGAAACCTAATCTCACTCTGTTACACATCTGCTCACATAATACTGCAAATTGTGTTATTGAACTTTTTATTTTATTTTTGGTAATACTGGTTATATTGCTTTTGGACTGAAAGCAGAAGTGCTCATGTAAATATAAAATTTGTATATCCCACACATGAATCGCATCCCTTTTTCATGCAATTTTTTATATCTGATCCGTACTTCCTTGTCATAAGTCAGCTTTGGTATCAAAAGGATCAATGAATGGAATCATTGAATGATCACAATTATTCATCTCAGCGTACTGCAAGAAGTGTAGGGGAGCAGTGGACGCAATAAATGATAGGTAACTACTGCTTATGTAAATTACAAAAGAATCATAACTAGACTTCAAGCTAACAACCGAATTTCAGTTTGAAATCAAAATGATTGCGCTTTACTATCTCCGTAATACAAAAAAAACG